AAAGAAAGAAAGAAAGAAAGAAAGAAAGAAAGAAAGAAAGAAAGAAAAAGAAAAAGAAAGATAACGCCAGGACTGAAGTTCTTTCCCTCAATGCCCCTCCAGATCAACAGCAATCACGGATGGGAAGTATCCAGTTGGGGGTAAGAGGAAGGCTAGGGCTGAGGACACCTTCTTCCCTGTCAGGAGGTTTGGAAACTAGGAAATGAAGTTCCTGCCACATGCGTGCACTTCCAGGGACCCTGGAGACCCTTCCCCACCCTCTTCAGGAAGGGAAGAGGGCTCGCTCACCAGCAGTTGCACCCATATGGGGAATGAGTCCGAAACCGAGACACCCTTTCTCCAGCCCCGAGTCCAGCCCTGTCTGGTCAAGTCCCTCCCAGGAAGCAGAGGTGGGACCCTCAACCCCATACAGGAGCCCGATCCAAAAGGGGAGGTGAGGGCGCGGTCCCAGAAACCCCGGCCAATCTCACCCTGCCCCTCACGTTCCTCCGGGTTCCTAGCGCGCCAGGCGCAGTGTGGGGAGGGAGTGTGGGGAAGCTCACCTGGCGGAGGAGTGAAACCCTTTCCGACTGACCCCTAACTGTCCCCCGACGAGTCCCACAGCTGCACTCCCAGCTACGCGTTCCCCCTCGAGCCTAAAGCGCACACACAGCCCACAGTGCACACACAGCGCACCGCCAACTGCAGCCCCAGCACCAACTTCACTCACCGTCCGGGCTCCCGCCCCTGACTGCCTCTGGCCCCTCCTTGACTCGACTCCCGCTCCAGCTCCTGCTCCTGCTCCTGCTCCAGCAGCCAAGCTTGTCGGGATCCAGAGCAGGAGCCCAGCACCGTGAGGGTAGTGGGGGCAGGGCAAAGAGGAGCCCCGCCCCTCTCAGAAGGAGGAGGTACAGGCGGGGTGGGGTGGAGCGAGCCGGCCGGGGACTGGCGGCCCCTGCCCCCGAGTAGCGCAGGGGGCAGGCAGTCTAGACACGGGTTGACGTTTTCATCCGGGCTGGAAAGTTGGAGCGTCCGGCCCCTTCCCCTAATACTTTCCCCACCTTTCTGGAAAGGGCCTCCAGGTCTTTGCCTGGAGCCGCCCCCCACCTCACCCCAAGCACACACTAATCTCCTCCCACCTTTTCACACTCCACCCAGTCCCTGGCCCTGAACAGGACTTCATTCGACCACTAACCCCACCTCCCCCTCACACCGAATTCCCATTGCTCTTCCCTAGAATGGGATGTCTTTCCCACCTTCTCTGCCAGTCCCTACCAATCATCTTGAAGACCTCATTCCAAAGTCACCATTTCTCGGAAGCATTCCCAAACGACCACTTGTGAGGTATGTTACATTGGAGATTGCTTTCGTGCATGGGCCGGACTAGAGCGCGTCTGAGGTCCCTTCCACCTCTCCAGAGCTCTGATTCTGATTAAAGAGGCCTCACTGATCTTTTGGGTCTCTGCATTTAGTATTCAATTTATGTCTGGAAGAATTGGACACGACTGAAAAACGACTGAGTAACAAAATCAGTAATTCAGGTGCTGTTTGACATTTCTGCCCTTTTGTATACATTTTTTCTCCTCAATCACAAACAAACTTAAGGACCAGAACATCTTTTTCCCCCTGTCAAATCCAATCAACATATATTTTGTGGTAGATAAAAGGAATACTAAGACGAGGGGCTTCTTCTCTGCCCTCGTAAAGTTGACAGTGAAGTTGGAGAGATGATCTATAAATATAAGAAAAAGTCCTCTGTAGATGGAGTTTTCAAGCAGAGGCTGAAGCAACCAAAGGACATTTATTAAGCACCTAGATGCTGTGCTACTTACTAAGTGTAGATATAAAGACAAAAATGAAGCAATCCTTGACCACTGGGAGGAGTAACCTCATGGGAAACAATAGGTACAACAACAATGTTGTTATGTCCATCTCTTTTACTCCATACTTGTCCACGGGGTTTTCTTGGCAAAGATGCCATTTTCTTCTCCAGTGGGTTAAGGAAAAAAAAAGCAGTTAAATGGCTTGCCCACAGTGACACCACTAGTAAGTGTCTGAGGTCAGATTTAAACTTGGGTCTTCCTGACTCCAGGCCCACTGCTCTATCTATTGAGCCGCCTAGCTGCCTCCAGGTACAAGTATAAGTACAAAATGTTAGTTAAGTAACTTTCCCAAAATAAATACAAGGTGATTTTGGTGAGGGTGGCTATAGTAGCAAGGAGGATCAAAAAAAGGTATCTGGTGGTGCTTAAGCATAGTTTAACTTTGAAAGAAGTTAGGGATTCTAAGAGCTGGATATGAGGAAGGGGTGAATTCCAGGCATGGGGGCCAGCTAGTGCAACTGCATGAAGTTGTTTGCAGTAGTAGTGGTGATGATGGTGGTGGTGGTAGTGGTATATGGTATTTTAAGCTACAAGTGCTCTACCTATGTTAACTCATTCAATCCTCAAAATAATCTTATGAGGTAAGTATTTCTATGACCCCCATTTTACTGATGAGGAAACTGAGACACAAAGAGGTTCAATAACTTTGCCCAGGTTCAAAGAGCCAGTAAAGATCTGAAGCATAGACTTAATTAAATTCAGGAAGACCTGAGTGGAGGTCCAGGAATGGCTCGCTGTCTGAGGAACAACAAGAAAGTCAGTTTGACTGGACTAAAGAGTGCATGAAGAGGAATAATATATAAGACTAGGAAGATAGGTTGCTAGCAGGTTGTGAAGGGCTTTCAATGACAAACAGAGGAGTTTGGATTTGATAATTTGTAATAGGGGACCACTGAGATTTACTGAGTAGGAGAGTAACCATGGTCTGACCTATGTTTTAGGGAAAGTCATTTTGGCAGATATGTGAAGAATAGATTAGGAGAAACTTCAGCTGCCATCTAGTCTTACCCATTCTGAAAAGGAACCCCCACTATAAAAGGCAGGCAGGGAAACCAATTTGGTAGTTAACTGCAGTGGTCTATGTCAAGACGTAGATGCCGTAAGCAGGGTTCACAATTTCAGTACGGGTTGTCCAAAGAGATGACCTCTAAGTTCCTTTCTAAGATTCTTCTATGATTCTAAATAAGTTAAGAGGTTGTTGCTTCCTGGAGGTCCAGAAGTGAAATGATGAGATGGTTTGAGTGGGAATGAAAAGGAGGGAATGGATGAGTTATGCCTTGCATGAGAGAGATATGTCAAAGGATAAATCAGCATGACTTAGTGAGTGATTAGATGTGAGGGAGAAGAAAGAACCCAAGATGACCCCAATGTTTCAAACTGAAGAGCTTGGTTTGGACATATTTAGTTTTACTTGAAAGTGGGACATAAAAGTGGAAATATCCAGCAGTGTTGGAAGTAAAGGACTAGAGTGCAAGAAAGAGGTCAGGAATAGAAATACAGATGTGGGAGTCATAGCATCCTAGGCTATAAAGAGCAATTAATGAGCAGATACTATTTATACAACTGTATTTTATACTCTGGATGTAATGATAATATTTTATTTGTGTGCTTTGAGGTATAATTATATATTCATACCTATTAGGGACATCTAGTTTTATTTCCATGCATGTGCACAGTGACCCAATGATAGGAGGAGCTAACAGAGATGGGGAGAGTATCATGTTAAAGAGCTACAGTGATAGTCATTGATTCTTTCCTAGAAAAATTCCCAGAAAAATGATAGAGCCAGGATAGTGCACAGTTTCTTTTTAAGGAAAACTTCTTGACATAACTAACCCATGCACAGACTTAAAAGGTTACAGAATCCCAAAGTATTAAGGGACTTTTGAGGTCATCTTTCATTCCCAGAATCTCAAGGCTGGAAGACACTAGTCCATCTAGTCCAATCCATACCTGAAGGAGAATCTCCTAGCCTTTGTTGAAAGAATCCCCAATGAAACTTATGGGAGATTCCACTTCCTTTAGAAGCTTTGGGATCGCTTTAGTTGTGAGGAGTTGAGCCATACTAGGAGAGAAGGGAATAAGCATTTATATAGCACCTACTGTGTGCCAGGCACTGTGCTTAGTGCTTTTTACAAGCATCTCATTTGATCCTTGAAGGTAGGTGCTATTATTACCCCCATTTTGTAATTAGGAAAACTGAGGCAAATGGAGGCTAAGTATCTTGCCCAGAGTCACACAGCTACCAAGTATCTGAGGTTGGATTTAATTTCAAGTCAATTTAATCTCAGGTCTCCCTAATTCCAGGCTCAGCGCTCTAACCATTTTGCTACCAACTTAGTAATATCACAGAAAGAGCTAGAAGAGAATCTTGATCACTCCCTCATTTTATACATTCATTTGATCTCTAAGGTCTCTTCTAGAGAGATTAAGTAAACTGCTCAGGATTATACAGGTAGTAAGTAGGAGAAAGATCTGATCTAGGTCCTCCGGCACCAAATCGAGCATTATATCATAAATATTTTTTAAAGAACCTACTATGTGGCAGGCACTATGCTAAGCACTGGGGATACAAAGAAAGGTAAAAGAGTACATCCTCTCAAGTGAGAAGATGAAAAAGGAGCAGGGAATACTGAAGAAGTTACTTTGTTTTTAGTGGAAGGAATGGCAGTATTGGGGAAGAAAGGAAGATGAAGTTGGAAATCTTGGAGTAGGACAAGTTAGTTAATAGAGTAAGTGGATGTAAGACCTTGAATTATGGGCTAAAGAATTTATATTTTTTACACAATAAACCACAGGAAATCTTTGTCCTGAGCAGGACTATCATGCATCTTAAAAAAGGGGGGCGGGGAACTATCTGGCAGCTTTGTTATTTTTGTTATTTTCTGGAAAATTTTCTTGGAAACCAGGAAACCATCCAGAAGGTTATTGTGATAATAGAGTAGAGGAGCAAGATGAGGTCTTGAACTAGGAAACAGAAAGGAAGAGACCAGTTCAAGAGACATTGCAGAGGAATTATCATCACTCCATGATGAATTGTATATGGAAGGCATAAGAGGGAGAAGAGTTTAAAAAAAGAAAACTCCTAATTTATGAGTTTGGGAAATAGGGAATTGGTTGGTATCGTTGACAATGATGGAAAAATTGTCTTAGAAATCCCAATAAAGACTTAAAGGTAGAGACTAAAAATTATGCCTTATTCATTTAAAGTAATTAATGTAAATAGTTACTAAATGAGTTTAGTTGCTTGTATTTATGTTAAATATTAAACTTTTAATAAAATATTCAAATTTAAAAGGAAAAGTGGTATTAAAGAATTGCCTGAGGCTCGGTAAAGTTAAGTGACCTACCCAAGGTCACACAGCTAATAATGTCAAAAGCAGAATTAGAATCCAGATCTTCATAATTCTAGTTCAAGTATGTTATTCACTATGCAAGAAGTTCTCAAATTTGTTTTGTCTCGGTACCTCTTTATGCTCTTAAAAATTATTGAAGCCTCCCTGTCCCCCTTCCATTTTTGTTTATGTAGGTTATGTTTATCAATGTTTACCATGTTAAAAATTAAAACATCTTAGTATTATTATGAAATTAATTTTGACCTCATGGATCCCTTGGGTCTCAGGGACCCCTTTCTCTGGACCACATTTTGAGAACCACTGTACTACATTATACTGCCTATCCATTTAAAAAATATTGATAGAAATTGAAAATAAATATATCCAATATTCAAATGGATGGTTAGTTGGAGGTTAGGTTCAGCTGTATCTTTAAAAAACATTATCAATACCTTT